ACTTTGTATAGGGGATTATATTAATAGTGTACTTTGTAACATTTTGAAACTTAAAAAACTACATTCTTAAAGTAACAAGATATAACATTTAAGACATATAACATGCTGAACAAATGCTAATTTAGAATTCAAACAACAAAAATCAGCATTTTTTTTTTCAAAGGACTAGTTTTGATAATTTTACCGAACCAACATCCTCAGCTGCAAAAGCATTATGAACGAGATAGGATATAATGATTAGATAAGATAAGAAAGCCTGGATAGGAGACAAACTACTGACTCCATATGTTGATGAAAGCAGAACTAAAACATAATTTCTTTAAAGGTTGAAGGAAAAGATGGATTGGAATTAGGGGTCGTAAACTAGAATATAAAGATTTTTTTTTTAAATGTGAAATGCCTCTAGAAAATCCATTTCACCAATGAAAGATGTTTTTTGAATAATTTTGGCAGCAGAAAATTAAAAGTGTGATTTTCGGACCAACAATGTTGGGCAGCAGAAGACTTCGGTGTTTTCCTTTTTTCTAACATATGCTTCATGTTCCTTGATGCGAAATTTTAAGGCTCTCTTAGTTTGCCCAATGTAAATTAAACCACACGGCAAGGAATCCTGTAAATATCCCAGAAATTCATATCTGGAATGGGGTCCTTGAGTATGGAATTCGGAATTTTATTGATGGGAGAATAAACGACCCGAAAGTTAAATTTCTGCAAAATACGTGCAACTTCATAGCCAATTGATGGAAAGAAAGGAATGAAAACAGAATTTTTATAATCTCCTAAAACAAGAGTGTGCCTTTTGGTTTAATATTCTTCTTCTCTTCAAGAGTGTGTTGAGATGAGAATTTTTTAACCGCTTGATTAATAATGTTGGCAGAAAAGCCCCTGTCAATAACTATTGCTTTTAAATAATTCAGTTCTTCATCAAGGAATAGTTTGGAGGAGCAAACTTGAAGAGCACGGAAAACATAGAAATAAAATGAAGCTAACTCTTGTTTAGTCGGATAACATGATTTGAAGTGTGGTGGAAGGCAAACCGATGAAGGTTTACAGTAAACCGTAGTACTGAAGTTGGATGTGTTTACAGAATGTCGAGAAACCGAAGAGAATTGCAAGTCTCAAGTTCAAAAGTGAACTGAAAAAGCAGGATCAATGGAATTCATTGTTGAAAGAACTTTATTTAAATCATTTTTATTACCTTCATCAAGCAGGGTAAAAGTATCGTCTACGTAGCAGAACCATACAGGGAAGTTTAAAGTTTCAAACAATTTTGATTCATAATAATGCATGTATATATCAGCCAGGATGGGACTGAGGGGGCTTCCCATGGCTAATCCCTCAGTTTGTTTGTAATTTTTATTTTGGAAATCAAAATGCATTTGTTTCAAACAGAGTTGTGTGAGAGAAATTAGCTCTTCAATTTCAATGCAAGAGAAATGAAATTCGCGAAGTCTAGTTTCTAAACATCTTAATGCACACTCCACAGGAACATTGCTGAATAATGATTTTACATCAAAAGAAACCCTGAGTACATTTCTAGGAGAAATGTTTTTAACCTTTTTTGCAAACTCTATTGAATTTTTTATAGTGTAAATGTTATTGTCTAATAGAGTTGAAAATCTTGAAACTAAATATTTAGCTAACGGATGCAAGGCAGTACCTAAATGTGATACAATAGGGCGGAAAGGAATATCACTTTTATGAATTTTGGGAAGAGCATAGCATATAATTTGGCACAATTTGCAACAGATGGGATAAGTGAATGTTTTAAGTTGCTTGAAAGGATTTGTGAAGATTTGATCGCAATTTTTATTTGTGACAGGTCCGAAAGTGAAGATCTTTAGGGATCGGATTATATGGTCCTGCATTTAAGAGTTTAGTGAGACCATCGATGTAAGTGTTCTTATCCATGACAACTATCTGCCCACCTTTGTCGGCCTTTGAAATGATAATATTCGGGTTAGAATGAATTTCGAGCATTGTACCTCTTTCTCTTGTGGTTAGATTTGGTTTCAAAGGTTTATTATTGAATTTCAGATTATGAGCGAGAAGATGCCTAATCATTTCTTTCTGTGAATCTGAAACTTTACTCAAATTAAAAGCTTTTTCGATAGGAGCCAAAACGATGTATTTAAACTAAATACATTTGAAAACCTACATAATTCCTTTTTCATCATAATGAGCAATTAATTATGCATAAATGTTCTTTATTTCTTATTTACACAGTACTACGGCAGACGAACAATACCTCCCATTCAACAGAAGAGAAGTAAGGAAAAACAAAGCTATGTTTTTTACCTAAAAGTATATAAATATTCTCGAATACTGAAAGTAGAAGAAGAAGCCCCAAAATTAAAGTTATAGAAGTTGCTAGGTTTAGAAAATGTAAAGATAAAAGAATAACCAATTCATATTCTTGGATAATTTCAGAAAAAAAAAGAAAAATTATTAAGATTTACGAACTTTTAAGAGATGGTATTGGAGGATTTATTATACAAGTATTGTTTTAGTACATATGACAAATTTTCTTAGTAGCTTGTTCTATGTCCTTATCCTAATGTAAAATTTACCTTCTTTACCATAAAACACTCTTCCATATCAATTTGATTCATTCTCCCTGCTAAATGTTAATTTTCTACTTTATCACAATAATCCTTTCTTAATATGTAAAAACATTCTCATTTCTATTTTATTGATATATGACCAGCATCGCAGCAACAGATACAACCATACCAGGTAACAGAATATAGAGGTGCAAATTTTAAAAATTTTAGGGAGGCACTGGATGGCAGAACCAGTAAAATATCTAGCACTGACTCTTTCCCATGACTATACTACAAATAATAATAATGGTTGTAAGAAATTTGCACATATTAAAACAAAAAAAAAATTTTTCACCATTTTCTCATCTTTGCACTTTAATTACAATTTGATCTCATCAAAATTATAATATTTCAGTTATAAGTTTACAAAGTAAAATAATTTTTTGTGAAAATTTTCTTAAGAAATTATTTCTTGAATTTTAAGAAGAATAGTAGTTTGCAATTTAGGCAATTTAAAAACACTCTGCACAGAATTTCAAATGATAAACAAAAGTTACCTTTTTTGCTTAAGAAATATTTTCTTTTTTTTAAATGCATTTCATAATAATTTCCTCTCTTTGACTAAGTACAGTCAAAAGTCGTTAATCCGGACTCGTCGGGACTTCGGCGATTCCGGATTATCGATTTTTCCGGATTATAGATCATCAGTTTAAATCTCGTAAGATGGCATGCAGAAATTCTAAAATTAAAAATATGAAACCGTAATTTATGAAATAAAGAACAATTGATTCTAAAGGGTATCAAAATTTGCAAAAAAGAAAAAGCTTAATATTTATTTGTTTACTTGATTAAACATTTCTTTCAATGTAAGTTGTTTTAAGTTCTGCTTCGTTTCATGTGATAATACTTTCTCTTAATTCTATTAAACAGACTAATTTCTTGTTCAGTTACAAAGTTCCGCCGTTCAAGTCCTATAATTGCTGTGTCAAGAACACCGACTAATTTGTCAATCGAAATTTTTTTTGTTTTCAATAACCTCTGTCACTTTTCTTCGCTATCGGAAGCGAATTATAATGACGAGGAACTTGTTTTAAATCATATCAAAGACGAAGCATATCGAGATGAAATACTACATTTGGTAAGGAATTATAAGCCAAATAAAATAAAAACATCTGCGCTGAAGATAAGGATAGTGCTGACAAATCAACTTCCAATTCATTACGCGCCCGCCGCCGAGCAGCGTGAAATTGATAAACAGATTTCGGATTTCAAAACATACTTTCGCTTTAGATCCTTTACATATTAACAAATATATATCGGAAATTCTATTTGATATAATCGAAAGTTTAAGCTTACTTTTATAAAATTGCTCTTACAGTCTGCAAAAAATAATAAGCCGGATGCAATTCGAAAATTAAGGAACAACGCAATCATCAACATTAACTGAAATAGATAATTATTTAGCTTATACGTCCATTATACATAAAATGCACACGCGAAAACGTATTCTGCACTTGCGCACACTCATATGCGCAGTCGTAAAAGGTCTTACGCGCACGCGTGAACGCCTCTGCACATGTGTCAATGCGGCGCATGCGCAGAAAGTTTTTAGTTTTGATGTCCGGATTATAGATCATTCCGAATTATGGGTGTCCGAATTAACGACTTTTGACTGTACTACTCCAAATGTATAAGTTTTATTTGAGGTGGCTAATATGAAATTTCAAGAACTCTTAGTTTGACCTATATAAAATACATTGGACTACACTGATAAAGAAATTTTAAAAATAAGATAAAAATCTGGGTCAATCATTAGTCAAAAAATATCTTGGAATTTATAAACTTCTGGAAATTTCAAGCAATTTTTCTGTTCATATAGTGAACACATGTTTTTGTTTTATTGCTACTAAAAATGGAAAAAGGAACTAATGAGATTAAACCACTGCTGTCTTTTGAAATGCCAGTTCCTAATTTCTACCAAGCCACTTATGAGTAAAATGCATGCTGATCATTAAATACATAATCAATACTCACTGCAAGTTTTATTTTATTATTTTATCCTTTAAAAAAATTAATGACAGTGAAAAGTAAAATCTACACTAACAAAAGTTACATAAATAACTTATCAATGTGTTGTGAATAAATTGTAAAAATTACTTACTTTAATGTCCATTTAATTTACTTTGTTTTAAATTACACTGCAAATATTTTTATATGTATCAAGTTAATGAATCTGTTCCATTTTGCAGATAATTAATTGCATTATCTAAATTATTTCTGCTTTAATTAGATAACTGGTTATTTTAATAGTTTAAGTCGTCAAAATTTTTTAAAACAAGATCTAAAACTAAAAATCAGGTTTATACTCTTTGATAAAAGTTTCCACAAAGAAATAATTGGATTCATATCCTAATTCAACAGAAATACATACAAACACCAAGTAGAAATCATACTTACATTTTCAGAAATGTTTTGAGCAGGCATACTTTGAGATGATGCAGCGAGTTGTTTCCACAAATCATCATGTACGTTAGGACAAAACTGGTAACAAGTTATGGATGAAGAATGAGGTATTTCTAAATATGGATACTTATAAGGTGACCAAAACTCTGATTCCAAATCTATTGCAATGAGCTCTTCTTCCACCAAGATAACAAGGGAGTGAGGATTATCAAACTCTGAAAAAGGGAAGATAATAAAATATTATTACACATAATAAAATATTATTTAAATCGAACTTCTTAAGAAGTGTCGTTCTGTCATCTTTCCTATTAAGAAATACATATATACAAGGAGAAACAGTAACTGACACATTTTGCATTTAAAGTTACATATTATGCAGTAATTGCATTTTTCGTCTCTAGTTTACCAATTTTTGAGATAAATAAAAATATTTTCTTAGGTACTTTGATGTTTTACAATTCTTTGCTCTAAATCAGTGGGTTCTTAAATCTTAACTGCCCATGGACCCCTTCTTATAGAAAAACATGACCATGAATGTTCACCGAAATAATAATTCTAAAAGCATAATTTTACAAATAATAATAACAACAATAATAATAATGTGTGCCTTTCTTCTATTTTTACATTTCCATTTAAGAGATTTAATAAAATATTTAAAAGTTATGCTGAAATACTTATTAATGTGCTAGTTCAGTTTGTTTATCGCATGCACACAAATGAATATATGCATAAATACTAACAACTAGGCAATTTTAAATAATTTTAAAATTTTCAAGCCAATTTTTTAAATGATTTCGTTATAGAATATTTCCTTTTCTTGCTTAGCAAATCATTAATAACCAATATAAGAAATTTTTAAGCAATAAAATAAAAGTTATCACATGCCACCCAAAATTACCCTTTTCACAGCTCCACAACAAGTATATAGAAAGGTTTCCACAATTTCTGCAGTGTTAGGAACAGTTTTAATGAATGGAATGGAATGAAAAAAAAGAGTACTGAAAAAATATACCTAACTTTTCATAATTTAAGTAAGGCAAAACATCTAGGTAGTTAAATAAACATGACGCTTTTAGAATTCAAAATATAAAATTCCATAACATTAATGTATAAAATTCATACAGAATTCTCAAAACAAAGCTACCTTTATTTTGCAACAGCTCCTCTTGGAAGATTTGGATTAATTGCAAATAGATACAGTAAAATATATTAAATTAGGTAATTTGTTCTCTAATTTCTCCATGAATTTTACATATAAAGAAATTGAACTTTTAGTTTTTAAATTTTTAAAGCATAGTGAACGTACTATTAACTATAATAACTTTTACTCTATAGGCAATACATAAAAAGGTTTTATATTTACAGAACTTTAACTGCAGCATTGAAAGTATTTTTCATAGAATTATCTATCTTACTTTTAAAAAATATCTATAATTTGAAGCAGATATCTAAGACCAATAGTTAAGAAAATGTAGCTTATAGCAATTTTTAGTGATTATCCTGACATTAATATGTCATTATGCCATAATATGCTAATAGATCCAGTAAATGTTGATAATGGAACATAATTCATTTAAAATAAAAGTCTATAATCACTCAAAAAATAAGTAAGGTACAGTAAACTCCTGATTAACAGAGGTGATACCAAGGACATCTATAGTTAATGCATAATCATGAGTAATACAACAGAGGAAGAACAAAAAAAAAAAAAAAAAAAAAAAACACTAGATAAAAAAAATGTTAATTTATAATTTAGCAGCAATTTTGAGATGTTTAATATGGAGAATAAGTTCCTGTGGTTATGTAAATTAAATCTGAAATCAAAACAAGGTCACACTTCAAAACAGAGAACCTTTAGTTAACCCATAATCATAGGTAATACAACAACAATCAAAAGAAAACATTAACCTATAGTATAACTAAAAGAACAATATCATTAACAATTTAACAGCATTTCTGAGATGTTAAATTTGGAGAATAAGTTTCTATGGTTATGTAAATTAAGTCTGCAATCAAATCACACTTCCAAACAGAGAAAACAATGTTTTTGTTCATATTACATTTGTATCTCGACAGGAGTCAATAGGAAACATAAAATTAATTCATGGTTGCCCATTTAATTTATTTTGGGGATTTATCAATGTATTCGTAATGGATAATTTAATGATGATTGTATATTCTAGATTATGTGCAGTTAATATACATACTGCTGTGGATAAAAATAGTTCCTTAATTCTGTGATATGATTTGCTATCACTGCAATTATCTTGTGCATTTTCTTATCCTTTTTGCACTTCCTGTAGAAATTTCGCTTTATTTTGATAGTATGTGATGATAATTTTTTATCATTCCATAACAAAAAGACTTCTGAGATGAATTTTTTTTAGACACAGCCCAATTTAGGGGTTTACTATACTTTAAAGGAAATACTAGCTAATAGCAATTGTCAACTCACAGGTAACCGTATTTTAAAATAAAAAGAAAATTATAAAGCATACATATAGAGATATGTTTACCTGATTCATCTAATGCATCAGATATTGTAAAAAAATTTATCACTTTGGAAGACAAGTCTAGAACCTGATGTCTGTCACCACACATGATTGTCACTGTGAATTTCTCCCCATAACTGGATCTCGGCATACCACCAGAAAATATAACATAACCATCTCTAAATGGACCAAGAAAACAGAATTTTTGTCGACAAATAAATTATTAACTAACTCTTTGCTGAAGAACATTAAACTAATAATTTGGAAAGCAGCATAATTTGTCTTTTATTATTTTTATTCAGACAGCAGGATACACAACAGTATTATTTTGATAATGACTTCCACAGCATCACAATCAGATTGATAACTTTGAAAATGAGTTTTATTGCAATTAGATTTTTTAACAAATCATTTTTCAAAATGAAATAAAATCTGTAAACACAATACCATTTATATTACTAATATAAATAGAATAAGACTGCAATTTAAAATTGGAAAAACTGATGAGCTAATTGTCATAATTTAAAAAAAATATTAATTTTTTTAAAAAATATTTTACAGCGATGTTCAGAATATTCCTGTGATCTTTTAAGTACAAAATATTCAACATAATAATAACGAAATAAGGAATGATTAAAATTATAGTAATTTTATGGTAATTCTCATGATAATTTTAAATTTAACATAAATATTAGATTCATAAACATCCTCTCCCTTTTTCTCTCAAAAAAAGATCAGAAATGAAAACTAAATTAAAAAGTAGAAAATAATTTAGTTTTTTCTCCATTTAACCCTAATATGTATAAGAGTTAACTTCAGGAAGAAAATTTTCATACACAACATTCAACATATTATATTTCATACTTAAACATAAAAAAAAAAAAAAAAAAAGTCATATAAAACATACCCTCCTTTTACTGTATTCCACAAAACCTTATGAATTGCTTTGCAAGCAAAAGGACCTGTACAAATGCAAAAAATAATTAAAAAGATAAATATCTAAATGGAAATAACAAATTAAATAGAAAAGTATGCAGAAGCATATTCTAATAAAAGGCTATGCCATGGCATATGCCTTTCCAAACATAAAATAATTTCTAAGGCAAAATAGCATGAGTTCATCTTATGGTTCCAGTATAAATGTGGTACATGTCGCATGTATATGAATTTCAAACTGTGAGATAGCTTAGAATGTTTTCTATTACACTTAAAAACTGTTACCATAATATCACAGTCTCACTTTCTAAAAATAAGCAAACTAAAATCCATAACAGATTATACTAGAATTCATTAAAAGATTTAGCTTGCAAAGGCATTAAACGTTTTCAAAGATGCATACCACATCACAACACGAAGAAACATCTCAGCCTGTTGATAGTTTAAATACACGAACTACACAGAAAAGAACTCAGACATATTGGTGGCATCTCAGTCAAGAGATTTGGAGGATATGACATTTTTCATGGAGAATGGAAGCATAGATTTCTGAAGGTAATTTTTAAAATACTGACATGTTATACTATATTTGCTCAAAAACACAACATGCCTCCTCAAATATCAGACTCTTGTTACATTTTAGGATATATACATATTATTACAAAAGTTTTTTTTTATATATCATCTCCAGTCTCTAACGACAACTAGCTAAACATTAAGTCTATCTTGCCAACTTTATAGCTTCAATATCTCAAATAGAGTACAACACACCACAAACCACTACCTTCTCTCACTAGACATGACAACCTTTTTACATTCCCTCGTTGAGTACATTTACATTTACAGCCATTTTGTTTCAAATTTTGCAAACAAGTAAGTTAATTTTAATTTCCTTTCTGGCACTGATTTGTAATTAAATTTATATTTAGATACCTACTTTCCATTTTGCATTTAAATCTAAAGAATGCAGTAATTTGTACATATTTCTATTGTTTTCAAATATCTTCTTTTGTACATATTTCAGTTATTTTATATTAATTTATACAGGTCTCAATATTGTTTTTTTTTTTTTTTTTTTTTTTTTTTTTTTTACTATACTGTGAGAGTGTTGGGGAATGTTTTTTCTAATGTGAAGATCTCAATTCAGTTCTTAACAAGTACCTTAAATTAAAAAGAGAATTTTACTCATTTTTTCAGTTTTGTTTATGACAAACATTTTGGTTCAAGTAAAATAATTATCTTTCTCTTTTTTGAGTTTTGTTCGTAGCTTACGATTTAACTCTAGCACAATAACTAATCTGATCCTTATTTGGAAATAAGATGAAACACTCTCACTTAATTTGGTTACTGATATTTGGCAGTGGATTGGTTTGTTCTCCCTTGACAAGTCAATTAATCTGAAGGCTACCTTTTTAGGACTTTAAATTTTATGTTTTAATTTTACTTTTCAGATTTTTTCCATTTTAAAATAATATTTCTATATAGCTTATTAAAATAAAAATCTAAATTACTTATATTTAAAATACTGATTCAAATTTATTCCAATAATTCATCGCATTAATTAAATTTATGTTCCCTGGAGATGATATATATATAAAAACTTTTCTAGTAATAAATTATACTAGTATTTAAGCAGAACTTTACTCACTAAAGCTGACAAAGCTAATAAAATTTTCCGCATTATTTGAAAAAAAAAAAAAATATAAAATACTTCCCGAAAAAAAAAAAACTTCAGCAGACTACTAGCTGCAACAAAACTAATTCCATCTCATCAATTGCCAACAAGATTAAAGCTTCACTGAAGACTAAAAATTTCCCTCTTACCCAACTTCAATAAATTCTCTAACCTGTATGGCTTGCATAAATTTTATAAAACTTCTACCTAATTCTGTTTTATTGTTAATGGTACTAAAAAGACCAAAAAGGCAATACTTTTGATCTCAAAGTTAAAAAGAATTGTACTATTATTTTTGAATCTGTTAATAAAGAGCATCATTAGAATTTGATTATTAATAATAACAGTCCTGTTCTTTCTTAAAAATTTGGAAGTAACAGAAATTGTTATGATTTTGAAAATCTCTACTTTCCTTCCATCAAGTGAAAACATACAATAGTCTTTTAGCTCTTCCTAAACTTTTTCTCGAAATTTTTCCAGCTATTTCAGAAGCTAACTAGAAATTGCACATTATTGTGTATCGTTTAATAAATAGATACAGTTCAGAGATTATACTTTTCAACAAATTAACAGTATTCTTATGAGCACTTCATATTCCACATTTACTTAATCCAAAAATCTATTAATCAGGTTGATAAAAATTACTTTACTACTGTATATAGGCATATCGATGAAATTATTGCAGTTAACAGTTTTGAGAAAACAAAAGAACACAGTATTCAAACAACAAATCTTGCCCTTAATAAACCTAACATTACTAAAAAAGATTAACTGTTTAGATTTATATATTTTAATTGCAAAAATAAATAACTTTATAACAAAAGAAAAGATTTCAATTTGAACAAAATTTTAACATTTTGAAAGAGTTTTAAATAACACAATTCACAATCAACTTTGCAGAATTAAAACAAAAAAATGTACTGAAGTTAATTACCTATAAGAAGCTTAAATTTTTACTAATTCTTTAATAAAGAATAAATTCTGAAATATTACATTAATAGACTAGAAGAGAAACACACTAATGTGACAATCAAAATCGTAAAAACAACCTTGTATTTAGCGTAAGTATATTGAAACACTCAATCGATTTCGAGGGCAGCTAAAGGTCCCCCCTCATCAGGAGAAAGAAATACCTAGAAAGAAGAAAAATAAAGGGGAAAGAGTCTCAGAAACATGTGGTCCTTATCAGCACTGCACGTGGTTATAACCGGATTTTTAATCAGAGTTACACTGGCCGCCTACTTTTACTGAGCCAGACTATCTGATCAAACATGTAACACAAAGGACAAGAAAAATTAGCGAAGTTAAAAATAGGGAGCGAGCGGCAACTGTACCTTCACGCTCAAAATCTGAACTTCGAATAATGGAAAGCAACCACTGAATGGATACCAGAGGGTATAAAAATCCGTTCAGATAGCCTGGCTCAGTAAATGTAGGCGGCCAGTGTAACTCTGATTAAAAATCCGGTTATAACCACGTGGCAGTGCTGATAAGGACCATGTGTTTCTGAGACTCCTTCCTCTTTATTTTTCTTCTTTCTAGGTATTTCTTTCTCCTGATGGGGAGGGATCTTTAGCTGCCCTCAAAATCGATTGAGTATTTAATCTCTGATTTTAGGTTGTGTTATGGCAGCATTATTTTAAACCTCAAAAAAGGAAAATAATAGAGAATGGCTACTAAAATTGGAGACTTGTCCATAGGTAAAAAATTCCCTTTTCTTGCACAGTTTCTGTATTATTATTCTGGCTCTTAATTGTGCTGGGCAAAAGATTTTAAACTTACTATCCTCTTTTTCAGTAAAACTTTTGCCAGAATTTGAATTTAAATTTTACTTTTAATTAATGTTGTTTGTTTGTTTTAATTTTTAGTAATGGTGCTCTGTTGGCCTTTCTTCCTTCTTTGCCCCACTAACATTTTAGCAGGAATAATAAACTTTTTCTGAGAATTCTCTTTTGTGCCAAATTACCTATGTCAAATTTTCGATGATTTTGGCATAGTTTTTTTACGTTGATTATAGTCTAGTTTTACCATTTCCAAGTTTAAAAAATTTTTACAATGGAATGTCAACCATGCACATTCATTTTCACACTCTCCCTTCAAAGAATTACAGTGTCATTTTTCAAAAAATTTACAGAGTATTTTGGACATTTGTTGTTTTTTGTAATTATAGCCAGTTCCACTAAATTTTATATGAAATAGGGGAATTTTCCAAATGTTTTTCTCTTTTAGGGTTTTTTTTTATGTATCTTTAATGTTGATTAATTTTTTTTTAAATTTTTATTTTTTTGTTCATGTTTCATGAGAAATATTACATATTTTAGAACACTAAACTACTAAATACTTTGGCTTAAGGGCGAATTATGTTACATAAAAAAAAAAGTAGTAAGTTAAAAATTTTCATGGCTAATTTGGTCATTGTTTTCTCATTACATATACCAATGTGATTAACTCTAGACATTTTGCTATATTTTTACTTTAATTCATTGTATTTTTTAAATGTTTTGTAATTCTGGAAATTTTAATTTTTCAATTTAATTTATATTTTTTCAAATAGTAAACTTGCATTGGAGTAATAATTTCTAAAAAAGTTTATAAAACTTTTAACTTCTGGTTTTTATCTCCCTTCATTCTGAAATTTAATGGTTTCTTACGGTTTTCAAATTAAATCGTCTAAAAATTCTTTTTTAATTTTTAAAAATTGTTTCTTGATAGTACAGTTTTTCTTCTAATTCAGAAGTTTTATTATATATATATATATATATATATATATAAGAGGGACAGCTTTGCATCGCCACAGGTCAGTTTTTGTTTCTTTTGTTACAACTTTTTCTTGGTCTTAGCAAGACCCACCTTGTTTGTTCTCATCTTAATTTTTGTTTTATTTTATTTTAATTACAGGTTTTCATTACAGATTTCTAAAATCTATAATTTAAAAATTAAATTGTTAATCTTTAAGCTTGCAGGCCCAGCCCGTATGTTTTTGTATTTTTAGGACTAATAGCTCATCGCTATTTATTTTCATTTTGATTTTGATTTTAGTCTAGATATAGGAAGTTTAGGTATTGTTTAACATATTTTAACACCTTAATGTGTCATTCTGTGTGGACACGTCGGGAAATTGGAACAGAGAATTGAGACTATTAAAATTTCCAAGACACTTTGCCAAAATTTTAAAAAATTTTTAGCGAAAAAGTTTCAATTGTCTGTTTTGGCGAAACGCGTAATGGGGTTAGCTTGATTCGACGTTCAAATAAATGAAATTTCCCTTGAAAAGCCAGTTTGGAAGTCGAATTGGGCTAATTTACCATTTTCCGCTTACTTTTTATCTGTTTCTGTTTTTTTAATGTTTTACATGTCTAATGATTTGATTTTCATATGTATTAATTTTTTAAAACGCGTTGAACCTTTTGGAGCAGCAGCTCTTGGTAACTTTTAGGCGAGCTTACTACAATTTATATATATATATATATATATATATATATATATATATACATATGTATGTAATAAAAGCAAATTTCACAGAAATATTGATGTAGGACACTGAGACATAAAAGGGAAGAAATACTGAGTGCGGAGATACTTTGTAGAGTCCAGTCGATAAACTTCTCTATGAAAACTGAAGTAGCAGGAAACTACACAAGAGAAGGTTTAAAGTACCCTTTATTGGATCTTTAAAATTTACAATGCGTCAACTCAACACTAACAAACTTCACCTATGCTTGGGTGGTAACTGAAAATACAAATAACGAAGCTAACGTTTGAAGATATTACCAAATGATAGAACTAGACTACATGGCTCAATGAGATCCCGTATCTTAAACCCCCTTTGAGACTTGTGGCAGCAAGTAAATGCAATTAAGCTACGTGAATCAACAGTAAGCAAACGTATCTATGGCACACGTCGCGGTTATATAGCCTAACTCCCTCTTTTCTCCAACCGAAACTCGGCTTTTAAATACTTCCTGCAAAGTAAAAATTTGCATTCCTTCATGTGCGCTCCAAAATTTAACTACTCTGGCACTGACAATTAGGGGAGTGAAGACTTATAGGAAAGTTTTTTAAATTAAATTTTAAATACAGTAGTAAATACTAGTAAATACAGTCAAAAGTCTTTAATCCGGACTCGTCGGGACTTCGGCAATTCCGGATTATCGGTTTTTCTGGATTATAGATCATCAATTTAAATCTGGTAAGATGTCATGCAGAAATTATAAAATTAAAATATGAAACCATAATTTATGAAATAAAAAGCAATTATGATCTAACGGGCATCAAAATTTACAAAAAAAAAAAGCTTAATATTTATTTGTTTACTTATTATATTATTTAACATTTCTTTCAACGCATTTAAACATTTCTTTCAACGTGCGCATGCGTAAAGCATACATTAAGCATAGTCAAAATTGCAACCAGAAAACTATTTGATGTGTATTCGTGATATTTACAATGACGAGGAATTTGATTTAAATCATATCAAAGACAGAGTACATCAAGATGAAATACTACATTTAGCAAGGAATTATACACCGAATAAAATAAAACATCTGCCCTGAAGATAAGGATAGTGCTGACAGATCAACTTCCGGTTCATTTCGTGCCGCAACGTTACCCCCTCCCCCCGCAAAGCAGTGTGAATTTGATAAACAGATTTCGGAATGGTTAGAGAAACAGAGGATATGCCTTTATTCATTTTTTGCAGAAATTCCCCTTTTTCTTTGATGGACATCGAAATATGTTTTCGCTTTGTAGATCCTTTGGCAGCTCCAGAATCAGAAATTCTTTTTGACATAATCGAAAGTTCAGGCTTAAAATGGCTCTAACAGTCTCAAAAAATAATAAGTTGGATCCAATTCGATGATTAAGAAACAACGCAATCTGCAACATTAACTGAAATAGATGATTTTAGCTTAGGTTATACTGTCCATTATACATTAAACACGCATGCATAAATGTATTATGCGCATGCGTAAAGGTATCATTCGTTTACGCATGTGCAGAAAGTTTGTAGCTTCGAGGTCCAGATTATAGATCATTTCGGATTATGGACGTCTGGATTAAAGACTTTTGACTGTATATATATAAATCCCTACAACTTGATACTTAAAACATACAATTCGTAATGACTAAGAAACTTGGCAGTCAAGGCGGTTTTAATTCAACTTTTATTTCCAATTGACATTTGTGGCCACAATTCACTTGGCACTTTAATTGAGCCTATTTTTCAAAGTATTTACATTTTTGCATACTTTTGCGATAGGAAGGCAGCCCAGTGAAATTACGTACAAGCAGCACACAGACAGAAGCTAAAATGCTTAGTTAACCAATATGGAAGCTCAGGAAGAGGAAGGTTTGGGTTTGAGTTTCAGTTCTTAGAATTTAGGTACCCAATTACTATGTCATCAATTACACCAGCTTCGTGGTATATCTAGAAAAGATGCAGTCCAGAAATGTTGCTATTAATTTTAAATGAAGATGGGAGTAAAAGGGCTATTATTATTTATTATTTGAAAAAACAGATATTTTACACACACATATATACTTAAAAAGTCAAGACGATAGTCCAACTAAGCAGTAAGAATATCTGGATACTACTTAGCTTTGTTTCCGAAATACATCATAATAGAAAGGTACTTACCAATAATTAAAAATGAACAAAAAAAAAAAAAATTAGTACTAAAAAGTTGAAGAACATAAATGGCAAACAAGTAGTATCAAAACATAGGTTAATCTCTTTTATTCAGAGCTTCAAAAGAGAACTTGTCAAGGGAAAAGTGTTTTGAAGCTCCAAACAATGTTCATCAACTAGACAAGCTAAAACAAGTTTCGTTCCAACTAATTCACTAGACTAAGCACAGAAAAATGCAATTAAACCATCTAATGTAATTAGAAGAATTTATAGTCTCATTGAATTCTCTCTTTTCCCGACGTATTTCAGCTGTTTAATTACCAAAACTGAAATTCGAAATGAGTAAACAATTAAAAACAAATACAAAAAACGAGACTTATCTTAGATAGTAAAAAGTAAAAGGTAAAAATACTGGAAAAATTTTAAAATATAAAAAGGAATATGCTTTTCATGAACATAAAAACACCCGAAAAAATTGTAAGCATTTTTACAAAAATAAGCTCAAATTAATCTCAAAAATTGAAAATTAGTTTGACAGTCCTACGTATAACTAAAAAAGGAGTGTCTCGACTAGGAGAAGTAAAAAACTTTTTTAAAAAAAATTTGTGAATTTTACATGTACTAACTGTGGAAGTGCAATTGAAAAAAGCAAAATTGCTAAAATCAGGGAAGACAAAAATCTCATCTTGAGCAGGAGAAGCATTGGCAAAATGATTTGCGAAATTCGACTGCGAAAAGGTTGCCATGTTTTTTTCAACTTAACAGCATGGTTACCAGGAAAGAAAAATCGTATTTTTTAATGAATGGTAGCTCGTGTTGAAAAGCTTACATGTCTTTGTAATGATTAAGATTCATATAGTTTATACTTAACTAGCTTTCAATTTGCCTGTAAAACTTCTTTTCTAGTATCGTTATTACCTTTAGTGGTATCATTTATCATCATTTCATCCTTTTTTAAGTATTAGTTTGAGTATATATTTTGTAATGGTTTAAAGTAGGATTAATAAGAGTTATTATTTAACTATGGCAGCTACGAAAAACACAGAACACCATAAGCCACCAGGTGTGGATAGCGGTAGGTCTTCATATTTAACTCCACATGCAGAAAGATCTATTTCAACACATTCAAAATCACATTTTAGTAATATACATGGAGATATATCAGATCCAGTAATAACATGTAGTACTGCTAAGGACGTTAGCATTAAAGTTTCAAATGGACAAGATTGTAATTCTCCTAATTTTCCTTCCAAAGACTCTTGTTCCAGTGAATTTACTGATTCTGCATTTGAATGCTTAGAAAATTTAGAGCGTATCCTTTCTTGAGAGAATATTTCAAAGAAACTCTCTAAGACACTAAGATCTTATTTCTTCGATATTTTCAAAATTGTAAAAAACAAAATGCAGTGATAGCACAACTCCAAGGACAACTGGAACAATCACAAAACATAGAAAACTATTTGCAAGGTTTAGTGGAGGTAAAAGCAATGAAATTATTCGAGAGATTTATGTAGAGAAGGCTGCAAAGACAGTGCACGAAAGAAGTCGATCAAAATCTAGACATAAAAGCCAGAGCGAACATATCCTGCTGGTTTACCCAACAGAGGATGGATCAACATCAGAGAATACAAAAGAAAAAGTTGAAAAATATATAAGTCCTGCAAAACTCAAAATAGGAGTTAAAAATGTCAGGAAAATTCGCAAAGGAGGCATTCGAATTCAAACCAATAAAGAGGAAGAACTTAAAATTCTGGAGGATGCAATTAAGGAAAATGCAAAATTAAAGGACTTGGTTGAACCAAAACAACCAACAAAAATTAATCCTAAAATCATTATCTACAATGTAGAGCAGGGATGTCAAACTCATAGCTACACTTGGGCCAAACAAACAAGGTTTAACTTTAGGCGGGCCGCAAAAAAAAAAAAAAAATCAATATTCATAGAAACGTAGATTTATTTCGAATAATACAATAATAAACATATATATATATATTTATATAGAAAAGAACAAGAAAAATTTAATGTTTACGTCCTGATACTTGACATCTCTTCTCTGCTATTATCTTTCCTATTTCGGGAGAAATTTTGTTTGCAGTGATAACTTTCAACGCTGACCCAAGGTGAGCATCATTAATACGGTTTCTAATAGGAGACTTATTACCTTTCATGACTGAAAATAACTGCTCGCACCGATAAGTGCTACCAAACATGGAAATAATTTCATATGCGAATTTTCGAGTATTTTCAAACCTGGCTGGTAAATATTTGTAAAATTCAGGCACGCCCACTTCAATGAATTTTGCTTTCAAATTTGAGTTGCATTGAATCTCGATCACCTCCATTTGCATATGGCTGGGTACTGAGTCAATACTTATTGAGAAAATCGAAGAAAACAAAAAAAAAATTGTCTTCGAGGGAACTAAAATCATTAAACCTCGTTTCAAATTCAGTTGTTAAATTTGCAATTTTTTCTGCGTATTTTTGATACGAACAAGTATCATCTAAACTTGATTTGTTCATGCTGCACGTCGGGAAGTGCGTCAAATCTTCATTTTTAAGTTGTTTTTCCCAAAGAACTAGTTGACATTTGAATGCTTTAATTATGTCAAACATGTTCGTAATGATATGATCTTTTCCTTGTAACGATAAATTTAAATCGGTTAAGTGTTTGGTTATATCAACCAAGAAAGATAAATCTTGTATCCATATTGGATCGTAAAACAAACTTACGTCTTGATTTTTCGTTTTTAAAAACTGACATATTTCTTCTTTCAAATCCCAGAATTGTTTGAGAATCTTGGAGCAAGATAACCAACGTACCTCGGTATAGTAGGACAAACCCGAATATTCACTATCTAACTCACTTAAGAAAGCAGTGAATTGACGCTGATTTAAACCTCGAGATCTTATAAAATTTATAACTTTTTTTATATATGACAAAACATTCTCCATATTTATTACTTTCGTGCATAGAACTTCTTGATGTATAATACAATGCATATGATGAATGTTTGAACCGTGAATTTCACTAAGTTTTTTTTCTTAGTAATGCTACGAAGCCCTTTTTTTTTTTCCCGGTCATTGATGGAGCGCCATCTGTAGCTACAGAATTTAATTTTGCCAAAGGTAGATTGTATTTCTGCAGAAGTCCAAAAACACAAGTAAATATATCTTCTCCTGTGGTAGTACCAGGCATCGGTATTAGTTCCAGTAATTCCTCAAAAATGTTAAAATTCTTGTCACAAGAACGAAGAAACACTGCTAATTGAGCTTTGCCACTAATGTCCGTGCTCTCGTCACAGGCAATGGAGAAACTTTCGAACTAGATGATTTTGCTTTGATCTGATCACTTAAATTCGCGGCTAAATCAGTAACTCTTTCCGCAACTGTATTTCGAGACAATGAAATTGATTGAAAAGCCTTCACATTTCCAGGACAAACAATTTCTCCAGCTTTCATTAGGCATTCCTTGATGAAATCACCGTCAGTAAAAGGCTTCGAATGTTTAGCTATCAACTCGGACAAGACGTAGCTTGCATGTACCGCCGCTTCACTTTCTTGCAATACTTTACTAAACATGGACTGTTGCTTTTTCACTCCTAACTTGAGCTCTTTCAACTTTTCTTCTCTCATTAATCCTTCGTAATTGTTATATTTCGATTTGTGTTGTTCGTAATGACGTTTAATATTATATAACTTTGGTACATTAATAGTATTATTACATATCAAGCAGATTATTTTATCTTTTATTTCACAGCAAAAATATTCTAATTCCCATTTTACTTGGAATATTCTATGTTCGTCAGCGATTTTTCGTTTAATTTTACTACCACTTGGTTTTGATATAGACATACTGAATACAAAGGGCTGGAATAAACACGGTTAACGTTAAAAAGTTAACAAAAATTTATTCTTTCCACAAGAGATAAATCAAAATGCTGAAATATTTCTTCAAAAATATTCTAACAATATCACAAAATGTCAAACGTTTAGCAAAAATCAATTCAAAACAGAGAAACTAAATCTATCTCACAGCGAAATCGCTACAAATCAATCACAGCATTAAGTAAACAAACAGTTCGCTAGAACTACAGCTACTACTGAGATGAGTTGTTTGTTCTCGGCTTTTATAAGCTTTATAATTAATTTCTCGAATATACTGGAAACATCTATAAATATCTGGATTTTTGTGGATGGCAACAGCAATTACGAGATATTTATTTATTAGGTATTAAATGCACGCGCTGTTCTATTTTTAACCTTCCAACGCAGCTGTCTTTTCAAAAATCGTCTGCGTTGCTAAGGCAACATGAAGCAAATCTAATTACAATTCTAAATAAAAAAAACTAAACTAAATAAATAACTATGAAATCCGTAACAATATGAATTAAGGAATAATTAATAATAAAGCAAAGTGCATGCATGCACTAATATATCGTACAAAACTATGATTGGAAAACTGAGACCATGAGTTCGGCCATCGGGTAATGCGTACAAGTTCTGAGTGCACGTGTCCCCCAAAAGCCGAAGGTAGCTGAACGCAAGCTACTCACACGCATTTGTAATTTAAGTAGTGTGTGTGTCAGCTCGCTGTGAATAATCTAACAACACTGAATAAATTATCGTTAATTACTTAGCAGTAAACATTTCATTTTTTTCTTCGTCGATATGTTATTTTATTATTATATATATTATTATTTGCCGATATATTGGCCGGGCCGCAAAAATATTTGTTGTGGGCCGCGAGTTTGACATCCTTGGTACTGAGTTTTAAGAAGAAATTATCTTCTAAAGGAATGGAAGTTGCCCATAAATAAAGAATGAAACTGTAGGTTCCCTTACCCCATTTTATTAAGCAAAAAGGTATTTGTTGACAAGGAAAACATTGGAGTATATCCGGTAATTTATGCAAAAATTTTAGAATTTGGTCACACAAAAAGATCTTGTACAAGAGAACAAGGATGTTTCAAATGTGGTAAAAGAGGAGACCTTAACAAAGAATGCAATTTTCCGCAAGAAAAATGTGTTAACTGCAAGCATGCTAATACGCATTATCATTTCAATTTGGATATTAAACAAAATATGTGTAAATCTCTAATAAACAGACTGGTTCGCAATTAAAGTAATAAACAGAGGAGCGTTCTTCCACACAACATTTATTCACGAACACCAAAGACGAACTGATACATATACATAATTGACATCACAGTTTCTTTTTACAAACACTGCCGCCATCTATTGGCGATCTATGGATACACAATCCTAAACTTAACACTCCCCCCCCATGCATCCGTAACGGATGCATCAATTTTATTGAACTTCAAGATTATAAAGTCTTTCAATTGGTCTTCTAACAACACCCTTATCTAACTGAATCTCACAAGATCTAATTCTATCATCTCTTCCGTGAAATAATTCCTTAATCCTACCTATCTTCCAGTTACAGCGTTTCACATTATCTTCTCGTACAAGTACAACATCATTAATTTTAAACATGGGAGAATTCTTTGGAGTTTTTGAAAACATGACCTGATCTTAATTCTAATAAATATTCTTTATAAAACCTTTTCCAAAAATGCTCTAATATTAATTGCCTATGCTTCCATCTTTTAATCAACTGTTTGGTGGTCGTGTGTGCTTAATGCATGATATGATTAAAGAAAATAATAGTAGACAATCTCCTATAACAAAAGAATATATTAAATACTAAATTACAATTTAAATTACATTGAAGAGATCAACACAGAGCTCGGAACACAGTTCGTGCTAGCGTCGTGTACACTTGTCCGACGAGAAGTTTGAGTGAGTAAAGATGTCGCTTTGCTGCTCCGATTAAGAACTGGATTTTACATGTGGCGCCATCTCATGAATAGAAGTTGAAGTATCTGTCGGAACGCCACAGTATTCCCCCCCAAGTACCATCGGTACGTTATAAGTACTTTG